GTGTTTATCGTCGTAAGTGAACGACTTGACATCCACTACGCATTTAACTTACGATTTTGTCATACTCCCCTTTTATTAAGAGAAGGAGCAATCACGCGCTTCATTCCAATGGGGCAACTGTTCCTAGGATATGCCAAATGGACACAGTAACAAACCAACGACCTTCACTGAACATTCCTACTTCCTGATCATTGTCCATTTATCCTGCGAATTATGAATGCGATTAAGATGAAGGCGACCTCAATGATAAGCGTGACTGGGCAGCGCGTAGCGCAAATGAATACTGTTCTGAGACGGCCTATGTCCAAAACGACACCATATGCCTACAACTCCAGTCTAAATAAAGAAGGTGGAAAGAACATTCAATGTCCCGACGGTCTCCCTTCGTCAATGCAGCTTTGATATAGCACAGAAACGGGTTCATTCAGTATGTGGAGTATTTCCTGGAACGATATAAGAACGAAGTCGATCTGGATCAGGTGACATGGTGGGCTTCACTCGAATGACCCCTGCCCCTATCCCAATGCTGGCAAAGAGTAAATATCGTCTGCTAGTGCAACATATGTAGAATCCTGACACTAATCAGATTCTAAATATTCTTAGAAATCAATGCGTGAACTTGAAGTGAATGATTCGTGCAATGTGTCTCTAATTCGAGTGTAATGTAGGTAGTTATACTGAAACCCATCAGCTTCAGCGGAATACCCACGTAATATACACAAGCTACTAGTGGGCAGTCAGTGGAAAAGAAATCTTGCAAGCTTGGCCGATGGCTCTCAGCTTGAAATATTCTTATCAACTCTTGGACTGAATCTGCGAAACTGTCACCTGAAGAATTGACTCCACATTCAGACATTCGTTGTTTGGGAAGTCAAAATGCCTAATATTAAAAACTAGACTTTGTACGAGAAATGACGTTAGGAAAGCTGTCGGACCGGTACCCGGTACCCGCGCTGAGAGTATAGTAGATTAATAAAAAGAAAAAACGGATTTGAAGAAGACATTATTACTTGAGTCACACATCTGCAAAGCATGTCAGTGAGAATTAAGGTCACACGTACTCGACGGAAATTTCAATCCTTAGTGGTCCCATTCCGACGTCTGGTAAACATTCCGCGACTCATGTAGACGTTATTACCTCAGTACCTCCAACGCCCACTTTGGGTGTATTTTAAGCCTCAAAACAGAGTTGTTGGAGGTAGCTAAATAAACCGAAAAGAGTAGGATACCGAATCGTGATGTATGAGTACTATTTTAAACCCGGTGTAGATGGTGGCAGAATCGCTGAAAATCCTGCATTACCATGGCAACACCCAAGCCCAGCTAAACAATGCAGGAGGGAGAGGAAAAGCTAACGAACTTAGGCGACGTAGTTGATGACAAACGGTGCAGAATGTATCAAAGTTTATGAATAATAACTATTTTTATGTTATCTTTGTTCTGAGGATTTCGAACGGTTGTGCAGACTCAAGATTTGACGCCTTTAAATTTGCTACTATATCCTCCGTCAGGATTATTGGCAGCAACATATAGTAAGTACAATGTCAGCTGGTAGCAGACATTGGTGCATGTGTTCATACGTGACGGGGGGGCTAAGGGAGCTAAGTAAAAAACGCTGGTTTGTTTTAGTGGGCACTAAAATCGGTAACAATCAGGAGATGGCACCCAAAATATCCGCTTAACCAAAGCAGCCTATCTTACGGGACAGGTGGTAATAGGGGTTTTATGGGTGGGGGCTGGTCGGGATTTACGATACTAACCGATGAAAAACCTTATTTGAACAGGTGAATGATCGAAATTGACCCGCTCTCCGTTCCGTTATTACAAAATGTGTCGCCAAAGGCAGTATCGTGGTAACGGACGAGTGGAAGGCGTAAAGTCGTCTTCCCTCAGAAAGTTATCCACATTTCTCTGTTAACCACTAAAAGAAATTCAAGGACCCTACCACCGGACGGCACACCAATACCATTGAGGCATACTGGAGTAGACTGGAAAGGAAACTCTACGAGGGAGGCCCTGTATGCGGTCGAGCTGTGTGGGCTCACATAGACGAAGTACAGTATCGTATTTGATTTGGCCTCAATGCCATGTCTTTGACAGATGCCTGGGGACTGTTCCTCTCCCATGATGTGCAGACTTATCCTATTTAAAAGTGATTTTTTTGCAATAAACTGCCATAATACGAATGTATGCCGTATATATAGGTGTGCGTGTGTAACGAAGGAGAAGGTTGGGTAACAGCGAACATCGTCCATGTGGTCAATGTAACTGGCCACAACGCTTGCTTCAGGGATGAAATTATTTAAGAAGAAGTCGGGGTAGCTAAGGTTTGGGCGCATAAAAGAAGATGAGGAAGATGTGATGTGTGAGCATAATCTTGCATTGTGGCAGTACTAGCAAGCTCATTTCGATGCATTCTCAATATTTCGCCTATCCTTCTTCTGGGAATACTGTTCTGTTTCAGATTGAGAATCTTCTTCTGAATGAACCTTACCCCGCCATTTTGCAGCTTGTGCATATTACGTGGTTGCCCAATGGTGTCTGCGTTACCTGCATAGCTGCCGCCTTCCCTAATATGACTGGTCGATTCGACAGAAAAGTCACACATTTTTCCTCCTTGAGGACAGCCGGGTTGTGTTTGCTACCCTTCGGTCTCGCTTTGGACTCAGAGGCAAGTTCTTGGCTTTTCGGCCGTTCTGTTTGAAAGTGGTTCTTTTGAAAAAAATCCCATTTATGCGTATTCTGGAGGTTGGCTTTCTTAGACAGGATCAACTCGGTTTGTTTTTTGTTCCCCAGCATAATTTTAAGAAAGCGAGAGGACAGGGGTCTTGTCTTATCTTCACCTGGGTTGCAGTAACCGATTTGGTTGGCTATGGTAGGAAGTAAAGTCATCTTAGGTGTGGTCGTCAGGTCTTACTGCATTCGAGTTAGACAAATGCTGAACACCTGGACACTATTGGCTGTCCCGATACATCATGTTTTGCATTTCTAAGGAATCCTTTGTATGTGGACGAGGGTGATGTACGGAGTTGTTGCCTGGATTTATTTTTGCTGCCAAATGATTCTCCTGAGGAACCAACTAGGGCTGGTTTTTATTTTAGGCTTCTGTTGTGGCGTTTTACTATCCCTCACTCTGATACGGGTTTCCGTCTTCGCATCCATCTCTGCGGTCTGAGGAGCACTTGGAAAAGGCAAGAGAACATGAGGTCAACGGCGGGTTGGCCAATCTGGTTATATTAACCCTTAATTTAAGAGAACTTCAATCATTTCCATTAGGAGATGCAGGCGAGTTGGCTCCTAAGGTGGTCTTGCTTAGAGATCGAATATACCCTTAACAGAGGCTTAGCCTCCGTCATCCTGTTCTTACTGGAACCAGCATATGCACACACACACACACACACACACACACACACACACACAACAGTTCGACCGTCGATTTCGACGATGTCCACCGTGTGCCCCACAGACTGCATTGTGGGTGCAGGGACGGTGACTTACGCAGGGGTTTATAGTGCCAGTAGACTTGCTTGGCATCTACCTACACTCTCTCCTCATCCCCCGCCTGGACCCGGTGTCAAGACAGAGTCAAGAAGACCGGAGACGAGGGAGGCCGCAGGTAGATGGCTTGGACGGATCCCCGCCTTGGCGCTCCACTCCGCACCCCCTGGTCCACACACAAATGACCAGGATGTTGACCAAGAAACAATGGGGTGATGGCAGTGGTCCAGTTGTGCGACGATTGCCGACGACAGAGTCTGCCAGCGCACCCCGCAAGTGTTGGCATTTGTTATTGCGCACAGATAACGCCTGCCAGAGTCCGATGTGGCCCCCGTGTTGGTCCAGCGCATCTAACACGTGGCCCGTTTGGAGGGCACCTAACACACACACACACACACACACACACACACGACGACGACGACGACAGTTCGTCCGTCGGTTTCGACGATGACCACCGTGTGCCCCACAGCTGCAGCAGCGGTGGGAGCAGGGACGGTGACTTGCGCAGGGGTTTATAGTGCCGGTAGACTTGCGCTGCATCTACCTAGACTCTCTCCTCCTCCCCCGCCTGGGCCCGGTGTCAAGACAGAGTCAAGAAGACCGGAGACGAGGGAGGCCGCAGGTGGATGGCTCGGACGGCTCCTCACCTTGGCGTTCCACCACAGCCCCTGGTCCACACAACTATAACCAGGATTTCAACCAACACAACAGAGATTTGGAGGCTGGCACGGCCGAAGCCGCACCTAGGCGTGCCGCCAACGCCTGGCTCGGATCCCGCACTGTGGTGGGAATGCCATAAAGGCCACATTAAAAAGGAGCCATTGCAGCCTGACTCTCAGACCGCCTCCAGTGAAGAAGGAGGTCCAAGGTACCCCGTCAGTTGGCAACCTTCCAAGCCACGGCTTTTAGCGCACCGTGATAGCTTCAAGCGCGTCAGATTGATTATAGTGAGGAAAATGCGCTGAGTCGTCGACCTCACTCTCCCTTCCCATTCCCACACCCCAGCCAATGTCCGAGCCGGTCAGTAGACTGGAGTGGGGAATGGGCGCGGTGGCTGACATGGTCGACTGACCATGCCTGCGCGCGCCACAGCACGACCTGGCCCCCCATACACACAAACACCAGGATTTCACACAACGGGGGTTGAACGGCGTGTCTCTCACTTGCGTGAGAGGGCCGTGGAAGGTGCTGTTGCAGCCCGTCCTCAGCCCACCAGTCCGCCACTCCACACAACACACACACACAACGTGACGGACTGCGTGAACCGAGAGCGGGCCTCAATCAGCAACCTTCCCATCCACGACACTTGACGTGTCGGGATAGTCTTGGACACAAGTCACCCGTGCAGCCGAAACTGCATGGGGACCGAGTCGAGATGCACACTTCCCCCTTGCGTGGGAGGCGGCAGTTGAGTGCATGAGGTGTGTGGGGGTTGATGTCTGATGGGGTGATGGTGTTAGGTGGTAGAGAGTGAGGGAATGTGTGGTGTGACCAGCGGTTGTCTACCGCAGGTCGTCGTGGATGCGCATGTGGCCGAATAGACCCATGCGATGCGTGAAGGTGCGAGGGCAGTGTGGGCAGTGGAGGCGAGTGCGGTGAGTGTAGGTTGGTACTCCAGGCACTGGTTCGCCAGTCTCTGTGCGGTGGATTCGCAAGTGACCCACCAGGCCGATGCGTGAGGGGAAGGTGCGTGGACAATGTGGGCATGAGAGGTCAGCGGTGTCGGTGCCAGCTGTAGAGGAAGCGGTGGTGTTGGTGGTGGTGGACGGCGCGTGTGACGGTGGAGCGAGGGTGCGTCTGGACATGGTGGATATGTTGGATGTCGCGGCTGTATCGGAATTGTGGTCAATTCCGCTCTCGTGGGTGCGCATGTGGCCGAATAGACCCATGCGATGCGTGAAGGTGCGAGGGCAGTGTGGGCAGTGGAGGCGAGTGCGGTGGGTGTAGGTTGGTGCTCCAGGCACTGGTTCGCCAGTCTCTGTGCGATGGATTCGCAAGTGACCGACCAGGCCGATGCGAGAGGTGAAGGTGCGGTCACAGTGAGGGCAGGTGTAGTCCTGATCCTCATCACTGGAATCGGGAGAGGTGGGAGAGGTGTTGTTGGTTGGTGTGTTGGTGTTGGTGATGTGTGAGACGACAGCCTGAACGGCCACCGCCGGGGCAGTGGAGAGGGAGGAGGACGAGGAGGATGGAAGTGGTGGTGCAGACGGAGTGTCATAGTTAGTTGGTGGCAGAGAGGGCGAGGAAGAGGCGGGCGGGGGGACGATGGCTGGAGCAGTTCGAGAGGTGCAGTTGGTTCGGAGATGTCCAACAAGTCCGATTCGTGCCCGGAATGTCCGTTGACATCGAGGACACGTTGGGAGCGGTTGTGCGGCGGCGTTGCGGACTGGGCGAAGTTGTGATTTGCGGGCTTCGCGTTTCACTTTGGCAGCGGCGATGCGGTTGGCTTCATAGATGGCAGCGCCCGTCTTCACTGTTCTCCTCCATGTCGGGCGATCGCGAGCGAGCTCTTCCCAGTTGGTCGGGTTGATTTGCAGGCGCTTCAGGGAGGACTTCAAGGTATCCTTGTAACGGCGAATTTGGCCTCCTTGACGACGAGAACCCGTCGCGACGTCTCCGTAGAAGAGTCGTTTGGGTGGTCGCTCATCGTCCATGCGCACCAGGTGGCCGCTCCAGCGCAGCTGCATTTGTTTCAGTATGGCGTAGATGCTGAGGATTCCCGTTCGTTCCAGTACTTCCGTGTCGGGGATTCGATCCTGCCAGTTCAGCCTCAGGATGCGACGGAGACAACTGAGGTGGAAGTGGTTCAGTCGGCGTGCCTGTCTCGTGTACACCGTCCATGTCTCTGCTCCGTACAGTAACGTCGGCAGGATGACGGCCTTGTACATCTTCAGCTTCGTGCGCAGTTGGAGACCATGACGCTTCCAAACTGTGCTGTGGAGGCGACCGAAGGCTTGACTGGCTTTCGAGATCCTGTTGGCGACTTCGTCATCAATCTTGGTGTTGTGGGAGAGGGTACTTCCCAGATACGGGAAGTTCTCTACCACTTGCAGTTGATTTCCGTTCACGCTGATTTGCGGCGGCGCGTTGGGGGCTGTGGCTGAGTTGGGCTGCGGTTGGTGCATCACCACCGTCTTCTGCGTGTTAATGACCAGCCCAAAGTTCTCGCAGGCGGCGGAGAATAGGTCCATGCTCCGTTGCATCTCCGCTTCGGAGGTGGTGTTCAGGGCGCAGTCGTCGGCGAAGAGGAGTTCGTGCACGGTAGTTGTGGATACCCGCGATTGGAAGTTCATGCGCCGGTGATTCAGCAGATGACCGTCCGTTCTGTAACACACACACACACACACACACACACACACACACACACACACACACACACACACACACACACACACACACTGAGTCAGTACCTGTATTTTAAGCTGCTCCCAAAACGACATTATTTTGCGCTTTTTACGTATTTTGATTCGCCTTTTTGACTCTAACATGGGTGGCCTATTCCATGTTTTGCTGTCTGACTGTTTTGCTGACTGTGTTTTGCTGACTGCCTATCCTTAAATTTGCAGGCTCCTTTTGGAGTCCTTTTTGACTTCGTTCAGGATATATGCGCGTCCAAAGCAAAGTTAATCTCCTTATCTCGCACTTTTCGCGGTAATTACGCTTTTGGTCGCTTTACCCGTCCGTGATTGGAGGCACAGACGCTGGCCATCTCGCCGGTCTTTTTTCCCAACGAGATGCCGGTGCTGGTCGCACTATTAGCGTGAAATTGCTGACAGTTCATAAGCGTTAGAGTAAGGACGTAGATATCTTTTTGTTTATCCAGAAGCAACATGGCTGTTTGTGGGTCTCAAATAATTTGCATAACTTAGGATCTACAAGGATTTTGAACTTCTGTCTTCCTGGATAGTAATTGGTCGTGATTTAACTGTGTATGCAGTTGGATCCTGCTGGCAAATAATTTGCACCTAACTCAGTTTCCTGGCGAATTTCGACATGTGAAAAATATTCTACGAATGCGGAAGGTAATTCTATGCGTAAGATTCCAACGCTAATATCAGAGACAGTGAATTTAAGGCGATTATCGCAAGAAAATAATGCCAATTAGAGTGAGGAGGAGTATCGATGTGTGCAGACGGACTAATTCAGGACCCAGGAGCCCGATATGGTTCAAAGGGGTTCTAGAATTTGCTAAATCTTGATTGCTGTTGAGGGTGTAAAGGCACGCGTATACCCCCTGTATCTTTTGCCATGATTATAGCACCCTGCAATGCTAGAAACATTTGCTCCAATGACACACTGGATGCAGAATGTGCACGTCTCAAAGAAGCTCTACTTAAGCGTGGATATCCCGCACGGTTCATCCACAAATACAGCAACTCTACACGGCCAAAACTGACAGAGCATTCAGCTCCGAAAAAGCCCGTCTTTATATCTTTGCCCTTTAAGGGCGACAATATTTTAAATACTATCAAACGACGGCTACGTTCTGCCATTGTAAGGACATACAATGCAGCCGAACTAGTATTCTGCAGTCCTACTAAGCCACTTCCGATTCCACGAGCAAAGGATGCCCTGCCAATGCACGCCACGTCAAATTGTGTTTATGAATTCACATGCACTTGCGGATGCAAGTACATTGGGCGAACGCAAAGGCAGTTGGCAGCCAGGTCCATTGAGCATCTGCCCAGGTGGCTCCTTAGACAAGAAAATAAGATCCCGCGTTCATCCATTACGAAACACCTACTTGATACTGGTCACACCGTCGACCCCAAAACTTCCTTCCGAGTACTTGTTCGGGCACGAACAACTCGGACATTGCGTTACCTGGAGGCAGCCTATATACGACGAGTGAAACCAGATCTTTGTAAACAATTGGAGCACGTGGTTAACCTAACATTACCATGGTAGCCTCTAGCTCCATGATTCCCCCTCTCTCCTCTCATTTTTTTTGCTCTTTAACGTTTCCCTTTTTTTCACTTTCTTTCCCTACGGCGTTTGTGTTACTTACTTTATCGATTAGCCAACTTTGCCCAAAACCCTAACCTTGCTGTTTCTGCATCCATTTTCTGCACGAATTCGATTCTGTTGTATTGTTCTCACTCGTTATCCCTCTTATGAAGCGACAGGAAGCAGCTGAAGAGCAGTCGCGAAATTTGTTGGTACCATTAAATCCTGCCGTTCTTGCCTACTTCAGCTTCGTACCGGGGACAAAATGCTTCAAATTTTCGTCTTTTAGCTTATCTCTTTCGGGGCACATTAATTTACTTGACAAAATTTTCCCTTGCTTTGTAAAGATCACAGAGTCAATAATCTATAGCAGTATGTTAACTCTAGTAAGTATAACAGTAAATTTATTATAGTGAATGGAATAGATGGCACATCTTGGCTCGGAAATGGAAGTATGGCAACGAAAATTAGCATAATGCTTTTCGAATATTTTTATACGAACCGAAATTATGTTTGACGATGGGTAGTTTATTTAAAAGTAATCGATCGAGAATGTGCACTAGTTGTCAAGAAATGCCGACTTGAGAGCGAAAATATTCTCACATTCAAAAATTGGGTGGTAGTTTGCGCTGAGTGCCCTAACAACGGAGTTCCCAGAACCGACCTCATTCTCTCAACCCTCTTCGAGACACCAGTTCACTGCCCGAGCCGGTCAGCCATCTGATGAGGCGATTAAACGTAGTCGCCTGATGAAGCTGGACAGCCAGTCTGCGCGTACCACCCACGATTCAATCTCCTGCACAACCCACTATTTTTCACACATAGCGGGTGTGCGGCCCGGATCTCACATGTATGGTAGTGCTCTGGAGGCCACACTATGTGGGAGCCAGTCCACTAGTTAGCCAATGGGTAACCCATGAACGGTGGGGCTTGGAAACACGGTCCTGCATGGTCAGAAAATTGTCCCTTTGGTACTATTTTTGATTTCAGCAGGTCTTGTAATACTTGCGGATACCTTTACTTTGAGGTGCTTCGCGGACTGCTGTGATTATGATTCCCAATTACTGTAGAATTTGGGTTTTGAAGTAAGGGGTGGGGTTAGGGTTATGAAAAGGGTTGGACCTTAGGGTTGGCATTAGGGCTCAAGGTTAGGGAAGCATTCGGCACCCATCTCCTACTACTGCCATCTACGGGTTACGCCTGATTGGTCACACTCCTGGACGGTTCAGTTTCGGTGACTTTGATGGGTCAATCGCCTTTTTTCCCCGTGGAATTGGTTTTACTGGTTATCTTCAATGAATTTTTGTATTGCGCGCTGCTTACGATGAGATTTTAAGGTAACAGTCGGGAGATGGCACCCAAAAAATCCGTCACTTAGAAATAATACCTTTAAAAGTGGACTCAAACGCCATCAGGCTATGTCGGCGGTTGCAGGCCTACTTTCACGCACTACTTGGACTTTCCCTGACGGCCTAATATGGGCTGGCCGAACGAACATCGCAGGAGGTTACATGGACGATGTTCACTGTTACCCAACCTTCCCTTAGTTACACACGCACACTTATATATACGGCATACATTCGTATTATGGCAGTTTATTGCAAAAAAAATCACTTTTAAATAGGATAAGTCTGCAGAACATGGGAGAGAAACAGTCCCCAGGCATCTGTCAAAGACATGGCATTGAGGCCAAACCAAAGACGAAACTGTACTTCGTCTATGTGAGCCCACACAGTTCGACCGCATACAGGGCCTCCCTCGTAGAGTTTCCTTTTCAGTCTACTCCAGTATACCTCAATGGCATTGTGTGCCGTCCGGTGGTAGGGTCCTTGAATTTCTTTGAGTGGTTAACAGAGAAATGTAGATAACCTTCTGAGTGAAGAAGATTATACGTCTTCCACTCGTCCGTTACCACTATACTGCCTTTGGCGACACACTTTGTAATAACGGAACGAAGAGCGGGCCAACTTCGATCATTCACCTGTTCAAATAAGACTTTCCATCGGTTAGTATCGTAAATGCCGACCAGCCCCCACCCATAAAACCCCTATTACCACCTGCCCCGTAAGACAGGCTGCTTTGGTTAAGCGGATATTTTGGGTGCTATCTCCTGATTGTTACCGATTTTAGTGCCCACTAAAACAAACCAGCGTTTTTTGCTTAGCTCCCTCAGCCCCACCCGTAACGTATGAAAACATGCACCTATGTCTGCTACCAGCTGACATTGTACTTACCATATGTTGCTGCCAATAATCCTGACGGAGCATATAGTAGCAAATTTAAAGGCATCAAAACTTGATTGTGCACAACCGTTCGAAATCCTCAGAACAAAGATAACATAAAAATAGTTATTATTCATAAACTTTGATACATTCTGCACCGTGTGTCATCAACTACGTCGCCTAAGTTCGTTAGCTTTTCCTCTCCCTCCTGCATTGTTTAGCTGGGCCATCGTAATGCAAGATTTTCAGCGATTCTGCCTACATCGACACCGGGTTTAAAATAGTACTCATACGTCACGATTCGGTATGCTGCTCTTTTCGGTTTATTTAGCTACCTCCAACAACTCTGTTTTGGGGCTTAAAAAAACACCCAAAGTGGGCGTTGGAGGTACTGAGGTAATAACGCCTACATGAGTCGCAGGAATGTTTACCAGATATCGGAATGGGACCATTAAGGATTGAAATTTCCGTCGAGTACGCGTGATCTTACTTCTCACTGACATGCTTTGCAGATGTGTGACTCAAGTAATAATCTCTTCTTCAAATCCGTTTTTTCATTTTATTAATCTTTCATACTCTCCTCGTAGGTACCGGGTACCGGTCCGACAGCTTTCCTAACGTCATTTCTCGCACAGAGTCTAGTTTTTACGATTAGGCTTTTTTCCTTCCCAAACAACGAATATCTGAAGGTGGAGTTAATTCTTCAGGTGACAGTTTCGCAGGTTCAGTCCATAAGTTGATATGAATATTTGAAGCTGAGAGCCATCGGCCAAGCTTGCAAGATTTCTTTTTCACTGACTGCCCACTGGTAGCTTGTGTTTATTACGTGGGTATTCCGCTAAAGCGGATGAGTTTTAGTATAACTACCTACATTACACTCGAATTAGAGACACATTGCCCCGAATCATTTACTTCAAGTTCACGCATTGATTTCTAAGAATATTTAGAATCTGATTAGTGTCAGGATTCTACATATGTTGCACTAGGAGACGATATTTGCTCTTTGCCAGCATTGGGATAGGGGCAGGGGTCATTCGAGTGAAGCCCACCATGTCACCTGATCCAGATCGACTTTGTTCTTAAATCGTTCCAGGAAATACTCCACATACTGAATGAACCAGTTTCAGCTGCATTGACGACAGGAGACTGTCGGGACATTGAATGTTCTTTCCACCTTCTTTATTTAAACTGCAGTTGTAGGCATATTGTCCAGTTTTTGACATAGGCTGTCTCAGAACAGTATTCATTTGCGCTACGCGCTGCCCAGTCACGCTTATCATTGAGGTCGCCTTCATCTTAATCGCATTCATAATTCGCAGGATAAATGGACAATGATCAGGGAGTAGGACTGTTCAGTGAAGGTCGTTTGTTTGTTACTGTGTCCATTTGGCATATCCTAGGAACATTTGCCCCATTGGAATGAAGCGCGTGATTGCTCCTTCTCTTAATAAGTGGAGAGTATGACAAAATCGTAAGTTAAATGCGTTGTGGATGTCAAGTCGTTCACTTACGACGATAAACACTTCTGTCTAGTGCAGAAAACTTGGTAATCCTCTAAACGGTGGATTCTGGTGAGCCCAGTTTTTTTAAATATCTGACATTAAAGCCTATAATTTGAGAATTTGATGGGCTTTGCAGGTGAATCTTCCTAGCGACGCACAAGGACGTCGAAGATGGTAAATTGGGTGTTTGTTTCAGCTCGCATGGGGAATTGGATATCTGGGTCAGCCGACCTCAGAAATTTTTTCGGGTACTCAATTTCAGATGTTTTGACAGTGACAAAAATGTCTTTGACACAACGAGCCCAGGGCATTGGGTGATACTTGGGAAACACCAAGTATTCCATCCGCTGAAGGACCACTCTAGCAATCAGGCCTGATAGGTGTGAGCCCATGGTAAAACCTATAATTTCTTCACTAAGGGTAAAGGTGGTTTCAAGGAAATGTTGGAGAAACCCCGGCAGATGTTCGGACCTCTGGAGATGGTCTCTTTTCCGTTGTAACATCCAGCCAGAAGTTGTTTCACAAAGTGAAGCCCTGGTTGCTGTGGGATGCAGGTGAAGACTGGAGCGACGTCAAATGCTACCATGTACTAATTTGGCTCCAAATTTTGGTGTTTTATGCGAATGAAGAACTGATTGGCAAAAGCTACACTTGTTGGTGAGACGACCAAACATCCGTTTTGCCAGACCATAAGTGGGAGTGCTTCGTAGGGAGACGATGGGCCTACGCGGTATGTTTGCTTTGTGCATCTTCGGCAGAGAGTGAAATCTTGCCAGAGCGGAGTCAATGGGTTTCAAAGGAAACCAATCGCTGGGTGTAACTGCCCCATTTGTTCTGAGTTTTTCCCGACCCTTGTTTATTTGGGTATGCAGATTTTTTATCGCATTGGCTAGACATTCTTAATAAGATTGTCGGGTTATCGAGAAGGTGCCGAGCTTTTTTCGGTGGGTGTAGCGTCTGATGGGTTAAAATTGGCTCTGCATTTTAAGACTGTAAGCTGTGTGCTGCCATAAGACCGAGACCGTGACAGAAGGAAAAATCGATCAGTTCAGTACCGACTAGCTCGGTAAGTCATTCAAAGTGCTGACTGATCAAGTTCTCCGAACCGTCATAAACACCGCTACTCTGTTCCGATGAGCTCCTTCTCAAACGCAGATTATCACCTTCCCCCGCTCCCTAATCCCAGCCTTTGCGAACCTGAATTGTTTGTGCGTTTTTCAAACGGTACTCTGGGAGGAGCATCCATGATATAGCTCATCGTGGCTGTTTCATTGCTTTGAACATTTCAAGATATTCAACGAATGGGTCTTCAATGAATTAAAGGTCATCCTACTACATCGTCAGACAAACTTAGCATGAAATCCGAACGTTATGAAGTAAACAGTAGGCACAGGTGTAGTTGATAATGCGAGAATGCAAGTATGCCTTAGATGTCACACGTCTAAGGGATTAATAACGTTTTTCGGATGCAGTTTATTTCCGTTTTTGCGTGTTAAAGAGTACAGTTGACTAAAAATCCTTAGACACTGGGAAATCGTCCACACAGACTGCTTTAAATAGCGCATTAATTGCGCATGAACGTTGTTCTTAACACGTCTCCCAACCGCAGGATTTTCTGAAACGTAACGGTTCTAGTTGCCGGCAATTTGGCGACTCATTGCAGCAACGTCCAATTAATCATTATTACATAGCTCAAGGTGACAGTTCTCAAAAAAATGCGAGGAAAATGTCTAAATCCCGAACCCCTAATGAGTGCAGATATAGGATAGGCTGGTTCAATCATGGGGTATAGTTCGTGTGAAAGTAAAAACACAGATTGAGGCTTTTATCATTATGCTTTAAAATAGATGCATTCTGGCATTTTTTCTTTACTTATACTCTTTCAGACTTTTTCTGCCCTTTTTTCATTTCTTCTTTCGGACGGTATGACTATAAGAAGGGCCACTGGATTTAACTTATCGTTAGTCCTGTAAATTCTCCATAAAAATTTATCTGGCGTGCGAGTCACCTGCATATTCTAGGCCTACTGGGGGTTTTCTGCTCATCAAGAACGGAAGTTGCTGAAGCCACTGATATCATATTTAAACATTTAACAAACAGTCACTTGTGATATAATTGTCCAATTATACCAGCTCGATTTATCTGGCAAAGGGTGCACTATTCACACCCTCTGAGCTGCCTATGTATCCATGTCAGTGGATTAAGTTACATTTGTCTCTTTGGTTCTTTTGAAAACCCATCACTTGGGTGTTCAAATGACGTGGGCAGACTTTCTGTCACATACACACGTATGATGCCCTGCAGATGTTACACTTGTCAAGTTCAGATTTGGAACTAATTATATGATCTTATGAAACGATATGCCTGCCTTACTACGAACACATAACAGTCTGATTGAGGGAAGAATTATCCCCCCGTCGCAAAATAAGTGAAAACTAGCTAGCAAGATCGCGTGCTGGTAGGACGAACATTGTAGAACTTGCGGGGTATATGCCGTCGCCAAACACAGGTTGAACTGTTGTACAGAGGGATTCTAACTAAATGGGCATGCCTCAGTCTCGCCTTATTCCGTGTAGGAACATATGGGTTTCCATTTCCAAATAGAGCCACTGCACTGCGACAAACAATAAGCGATCAATTTTATCAACACGTACAAAAGGTATTAAATGTTTAGTCATAGTTATATTGCCATCGTTAGCCAGACACAACAACCTCTGGGAAACTTCGAGTCTCAATGTCGGCACTTTGGACAAATTGCGATGCTAGACTGACATTTAAATGTTATGGCATGGGCGGTGTCCTCTTGTTCGCAGTCATATCAGTTAATGCATCCAGTTTACAATACGAGCGCGTGAGATCATTTGTACATTAAGGATTCACTCAACGTCCCAAACAACTAAGAGGATTTTCTTGTGAACACCCCTCATCAACCGGTCAAACCTTGGTACGAACATTGTACGGTTTCATTAGTTTCTATGCCATAGCCGCCTGAGTTAGTTGGTTTTTCCAGATCAGGAAGGGATATGGCTGGCTGACGACTGCCACCGTGCTGAAAGTGTTCTCTGAAGTCTTCCTTGTTCAACATAGTCAATGCTTTTACAAACTGAAGTAATTTGCTACTTCTATTCTGGCGCCTATGGTCGATCACGAATCCATTGACTGAATTGCCATCTATCGCACTATTGTCGACCTAAAAACAAGTCTAGGCAGAGCCAAGTCCCCAAATAACAGTCTGTAAAATCGGTTCTTTTACGTAATCACTTAGAAAAGGCAGAATGTTACAGTTGGATTTTCTTCTCGGCAAAATGCTTTAAAACAGACTTCACACTTGATTTATAAATTTACTTTTGTCCATGAAGGCAGTGCGTGAGGTTGGGTGAGTCTATTGTTACCATTGTAAATCGACAGAGGATAAATGACAGTTGGGTACACATTGTTTTTCTGGTGAAACCAAAACTAAAACGACGTTTTGAATTTACACGATTTTCCCTGGCTTACATGCAAACAGGGCATACACCAATTCAGCAAGAATAGCCCACCACAGGGGCCTCAATGGGGTCACTCCGGAAATAGAAACACCGCTGAATGGATTCAGATCATTCTCTTCCGAAGAAAAGTAGAATGTTTCGTTTCTATTATCTACGTACTGCAACTGGACTGACATTGGCGTTGTTTCCATGTAACCGGAAATTAGGACGATGTTGCTACGTTCGAGTTTGGATGAGTCTGCAAAAACGGATGAATGCAAGTTTCCGTAATCTGTATGACATGCGAAGAGGCTGAAGCCGTCCATGCTCTCAAAAATTTCACGAACTATTAAAAATTTGATCAGCACTGGGTCGTGAGCCAACTAACTGGTATCTAACCTAATGTGAACGAGGCACAAATTTAAAGCAACAGTTGAGGAAAAAAGCGATTATACCAGTGGTCACCTAAAATCCGAGCGAAAACTTACTTTGTTGATAGAAATAGACATATAGAGACGATGTCGAAGGAAGAATCGTTGACACGTTATTTTCTAATGGAAATTCGATCTTTTGTAGAAATTAGAGTAAAAGGAAATGCAAAATTAGCAGTTAGATTGGATGAAACTGGTAAAAATGCAAAGAGGCTAACCGCGTACATCGATGTCACTTTCAAATACCACGAGGTACTCCAAGATAGTTCCATATTCAACTTCCAGGTTTTCACGAATGATCGTCCCGTTGGGAAGGCTGTGATCTGGCGTTAAAAATGTTTCAGATAATGTTAACTTGTGAACAAATACATCAAAGCACGCGGTAAATTACGATGTTATAAATGCCGTTTAATGCCTCGAAATAGTGAGTTCTATAGAACAACCAACTCTGCGTCATTTTTGACGAGACACACTACTATTTCAGACATGCAACAGTAGACAATAGTGAATAATATGATGTTTTTATGTCCCTGAAGGCAGAGGCATATTTTTGGTGAGATCCCTGAGAAAGGGACTCAGTAATTGGGTCAAGCACATGTTTATTGTTCAGTTTGGAACTTGCATATTAGTTTCTTACCATCATATCAGTATACTCTAGGGCGTAAGTTGGTGATGAATATTAAAATTAGCCAAGAAACCAAGGTGCCATCAATCCTTTAGTAAGCTAAATATGGCGAGGCTCACTTTGTTTCGGCGCGTATTTCCTGTTAATAACGAGGGCTTGAGGAGTAGAATTTTGCCCAACATAGAAAAGAACCACGAAGGTGGGTTGGGTAACTACTCCATTCACAATGGCGCCTCTGCTTGCTAAAAAGCGCATAAACAAGGTGAAGCCAGCAGTTTATTATAATGTGCGCTTTTATGCGAAAACTAACATACCATTAAATGTTTGGAGGCAAAAGTCGTATGTCCTGCAGTTGCCTCTTTTAATTGAAGGGGACGATGTAATTATCTAAAGCAGATTAGCAGAGACCGGATGCTGTCCGTTTAACAAACTGCCCTCTCCTTGTCGTATTCACATCAGCAAAAGTAAGTTCTTACGAGGCAGGTTTGCAAGTCTCCATAGTTAATAAGTTAAAAAAGAATCATTTACCTTTTCGACCGGAGGCGTGAAATGAAATTTGGAAAATGTCTTGTACTGTCCCACTTTGTACGTGTCTGCAAAGCACGTTTCTACAGTGCAACATGGATCATTGTTAAAAACTGACTAAGCACTATATCATGCATTAATTGTCAATGTAATTTATAAAATCCACAGCCAGTGTGAGATGTAAGCACATGCAGTATTTGAAATATATATAAGGAGGGACAACGGGTTCGGGTCTCAGGTGTCCCAAGATTTCGGATGAGTAAGACTGGCTGATGACGGCTGATAAGTCCTTTTTGAGTGAACAATTTGAAGATAAGGGGATCAAATCAATAACAACGTCGGAAATCAATACAAAAAAGACTTGCTATTATGTAGTCATCTATTTCCGAATGCGGTTTCAGCAGACGGCCGTAAAGAAGTGAATTCGGAAACCAAAATGCTGACTTATCTCAAATATGAGGGAATTATGCTGCAAGATAAGCAACATTGCAACCCTTCTTAGGGAATCCTTCCTAATCGGAAATGCAATTCAATACTTGAGTTTACAATACATTAAATCGGTAAATGATTGTATATGTATATATATATCAAGCAAATAATTTTAGAAATTATTTAATACGAGACATGGAGTTAAGACACCGGGACGAGACTTTTTGAGATGAGACTCGAAATATCAATGAACATTCGAGTTTAAAAAAATTAACTACGGTGGAATAAACACGTAATACCCAGCTTACAAACAATTAGTACTACAAGCACTATGAAAGCTATATGACGAAGATATTATACCACACTCCTGACACAGACACCATTTAAAGGCCCGGACACGTGTTTCGCCGGTGTTCTGTATATATATGCATATACTTCGAAAGAAATAAGCTCTTTGGGAAAGATAAACAAGTTTTATTGTACATTTTCGACTTTGGTTACCCAAGTCGTCCTCAGACGTGAAGTGTACAAAACAGTTAACATTTAAGCATGCCCGAAAAGCGATTTTGCCCTGTCACTCCTGCTGGCGTAATGTTCTGATTGGCCAATGTCTTTCCACTTTTCCTTGAGACTGTTGTACACCGCATCCTATTCTACGTGTTTCGCACACTTTTTTCATGTCTGAGGACGACTTTGGGAACCAAAGTCGAAAATTTACAATAAAACTTGTTTATCTTTCCCAAAGAGCTTATTTCTTCCGAACTATGATTCTTGGGATGCCGGTTTTCAAATTCGAATACATGTATATTAATTGGACGTTTTTCCTCTACAATAAGTAGTCTCCTGAAAAATAAACATTTAGAAAATTCGACATCCTAGCACAGGGGTAAGTGGCATTTTTCGGTCTGACACGTGATTAATGGCGCTCAATTATGTGGCAAACTAATGAAGCCCAAGGCACAACGGAACAAGTGGGTTTCGTAGAAACGATCGGTGAGCGCCCATTTATCGTTGAATTTTCCCGATCGAAACCGACAGGACAAGGAGCCCGTGGCTCAGTGGTTAGAGGCGTTGGACTTCTAGCTAACCGTTCGTGAGTTCGAGTCTCAGATGTTCCATACCTCGGGGTTAGGTATGACTGGCTGACAACGAACAGTTAGCCAGAAATGGCCATTCCAGTCTCCCTTGTCTTTGTCGGCAATTACGTTCTGCTTCATACTTTATGCTTGATGGAAGTGATGTTCATGTGAACTATTGTCGCATGCTTGTGACAGACAAAGCATTAAATATAAGCAAAGGTTTCCTTACCGAGCAGCAGCAGTATGAAGAAGGCCGTCATCTGAAATGTTTAAAAGAGGCAAAAATTTAGGTGATTATAGCTTACTTAGGGGTATTCCTTCTTTAGAAAACACGCAGTGTCAGGGAAGACTGGTGTAACCTCAACATTTCACAAAAAGTACCAACCTAGTGTCTAGAAGATGTGCAGCAAGTGAGTAAAAAACTAGTGCCCAAAAGTTTCCGTCGTCTATATAGTACCCAATTAGCCTCTCTTTATTTATAGCAGATGCGTAGGTGCTCCAGACAAAAGATTAACCAATGGATAATTAGGATGCGATATGCAGTATTGAACAAAATGCAGCCTGACAAAACAGCATTATAAACAACCATGGTGGATTTGTATTTGCAGGCGAAAATAAGCTACCCATGATATCTTGACGTAGATTAATGGATTAAAATGAATTGTTTAAGGCAGTAATTGTAATGAAGTAGCAAGTTGTATTTTTTTTGAAAAGAACTCACGTATGAAGTCCAGACTTGCAGAACATAAGAATAAATGTTAGCCGCGGCATGCGCCACTGTACTTCTCTAGACTGCCGGGATCTCGCCGGTATTCACGGCGCGATGCTGCAAGAACAGAAGCAGTAATCCTTGCAGGCGCCATGTGGCCTTCTCTCAGAAGGGAATTATCTCACCCACAGAGCATACGCAACAGTTTTAATCTGAAAACCATACAGATTATGACATCCACATATAAACGATTAGTATGCGTTCTTGCTCGCCATGCCATCGTCTTTGTACCAAATTTTGTCCACTGGAGCAGATATTTAGAAGCTTTTTCAAGCATTCTGATCTGTAATATGTCTTACTACTTCACAGACTCCGCATTACTACACTAAGAGCTATTTAATTTGACCACGAATAAAACCTTTACGTCGGACCTAAATTACCTATGTCATCGTCTGTATTTAGTTGTTACTCGCTCCGCATGACTGCTTAGCACGCTGTGACCGTAAGTCTATGGATGAAACCGACAGCAAGTTCTGTACCACTTCATTCTTTCGCCGATTAAACTCGCCCGTTAGGAAGATTTGGCGGTTTGCATAATATTTCTGACCTCCGGCTGGATTTTTTAAGGACAAAGTGAGGGATACGGCGCGCCGTCTCAGTTATGAAATCGTCGACTCGAAGAGTGTGATCGAGAGAACGCACAATTCACGTGGCCATTCCACCTGCTCGGGCGATACGAGCACATGCTGAGATCTAAAGCTAACTGTGCGTCAAACAGTCTTGACTAGGTCGAATAAAATACTATTTATGTTCAAAGACGCCCAATGTTAGAGGTTAGGAAAAATTACTCAGGTGAGGTTGCAATATTGTTTGAGGTGCAGTGCGATCGTTGTTGGCCTGAGGTTTCGGGTAGTCACAGGAACCCATCATCAGAGGCAGTCGTGGATGTGGGGACCAAGTGAGAATGCAAGTCGTCGGACCAATAAAATTCTCGTTTTAGCGATCACATCTTCTTCTTAAAATCAGTGTTCCAAATCTTTTACTAGCTTTCTCGACCGATCCTGCATTTTCTCTGCTCACCTAATTACCAATAAGTAGTGCCTTGGCATCGTTATTAGCAGACAACGACCATCACAACTTTCACTATTTACATACGAGCTAAGACTGATATGCAAAAATCCACAATTTTGCCTATTTAGCAAGCAAATGTGCCAATAACATCCTAATTACATTTGCAGGTAAGCTTACACAGTCAGCCAAAACTGAGAAATTGTCGGTGTGATAGGACGATGAGTTGTCGGATAAAGTAATATTTATTTGAAAGAAGACGAAGGCAAGATGACTGGGACAGTAGATTTATTGGCCTGAGCTTTCTAACTTGAACTGGAGTGCATCATCAGAGACAGCTTGAGTGCAGCAACGTGTGAACATTTATATCGTTATTCCATGCAGGGGTGGGGGAGGCTACGTCCATGGCTATGTCTGGTTTGCGCCGCCTGGTCTACCTGCAAAATATGCACCATGTAAAGATGATTACTTAAACATTATGAATTTTTCCCATTTATTTTCGATGGCCTTATTGATAAAACTATACTTTGCAGAAATCAAACACAAAATATTCGTCCTTGAACTCATTTGGTTGCAAATTACGTCTTCAAAATTTGCCCTCAAAGAAAGGATGGCTTACGGCCCCAAAAGTTTGCAATACAGAGGTTTTTTATGATCCTGAAATGTCCATTCATACGGCAGCGTATCTGTCTGTTAGGTAATGTTGCTTATGAAGTATGCAACATGACATAAAGCCATTGAGAATCCGTCTCACTGAATCCACCGCGCCACTGTCAGGATTCCCAACATGAAACCCCTTGTCCACCCATCACCTGCCCACAATATCCCCGAACACTCAGACAAACATCATATATCTTGTCGGCGACATCTGCATAAATGACGGCGGAATTTGCCGCAGTGTCCACACGACGAACTCACCTCCTACATCCGAAAAATCCTCCACTGGCAGTACTACCAACTTCACCGCCACCAGAGTCATAATCCCATCTTGTGCTTTCTGCCACTGCAAATTTGCGACACGCATCAGCCTGGTCGATCACATGCCGGCAGTGAGACCGACGACCCACTGTCAGGAGCTCCAACATACACTCGTTGCCTCCAAATACCCTGCCCACACGACTCAAGGGCATTCAGTTCTCGCACGGGCCTACCTATTTCACATGCATCTCCATGAAATTCTGCCGTGAAATACCACAGTTCAAACTCAACCTCACCGCACCAGACCACATACAAACCCACCCCGCATCAATCCTCACATGCTCAGAACACGCATCCTCTGAGTAAGTTGGAAGCATGTTCTTTCGCGGGTCCCACAGCACGTCTTCGCAGCTAAACCGTGCGTGTGTCAGGTGCATACGACACGCCCTAGGTCTGTCTGCCACTGTACCCAATTCCATCCCCAGATGGTTGACAGACTCGAACTTGAGAATCCATCCCCATGGCGC